ATGTCCAAGTTTGGCATCTAAAAAGGATAAAGAAAGTAGGAAGCTTGAGAAGAGAAAATATGATTGATTACAGGATGAACATATACAGGACAGTTACAGGAGCTGTGAGACACATGCTTGTGAAAGAAGAATTGACAAGATAAATGCATAAAGAGCTGATGAAGAGCTCAAGAAAGGTAATGACAGAAAGCCTTTTGTCTCACAAGGACACTCACAGTTTTCAATACATTTGACAACCTTTTTAAATCTCAACAAACACAGAACAACAGCCAATTAGTAGGGGACCAGGTGTTAGATCAGATAGGAGGGATTATGTGGGGCAATGGTAACCAGCCAAAGGCCATAAAGCTGATCAAGGGCAGACCCGAGGCATGGACCTATCTCAAGCCCTGAATCTTTTTTTCCATAAGTTTCTCAATTAATGTGCATGAAGGTGAAGGGATATAACAAAATTTATTTTTCTTTCTTGACCACCTTATAGTCAATGATCCATATCCAACAACTAGGTTAAGGCAAGTAGAACCTACCACAACTTTTCATAGCGTTATAGCTCCAAAATCATCTTCCTGTTCAAAAAAGACTGAATTCAGAACAACCACCTACTCCCTTTTACCTGCATGTTTAAATTCAAAAGGACAAAATATTGAACAAGGAGATGACCTGTGACAGGCTGAGACCATGCAAAAGGATGTGGAATCTCTCCTTCAAGATTATTTTTTCAATAAAGCAACTGCATAAATTCTCATCCTTGTAGAGTGATTTAAATATGGCAAAGAATGGACTCTGCACTATAAACAAAGCTGTGCTGGTGAGCTCAGCATCAAGCATCAAGCCTTTGTGGCTTGACTGAAGGCTCACTTCTTAGTGTTGACTTGAAATTTCAGACCATGGTGGTTCTAGTTTTCAGCTTCTGAGGTCTCTAAAAGTAAAGTTCCACATAAAATAACTACCCACTCCCATAAACTGGATGAAATTCAGCAAGATAGATTAGGCTAGTTCACCTGGAGTACTGCTGTATAAAAACAAAGTAAAATGTAATCCTGAATGTTTATTATGGGCAGGGCCACAAGGCAAAAATTATGAACAATAGGCTAAGGTAGAAAGAGGAAATTACATCCTTGAAGAGAAGTTCTGGGTTTGGAATTTTAGATGTTGGACTTTTAGATTCTGAATTAGTCCATGACCCTTAGAAAAAAATAACACTTTCATCTTTAGAAAATAATATGGAAGAGAGGCAACTTACTTAATAATTGAAAAAAATGCAGAAAAGATTTAGAGGGAAATGTTATAAAGACAACTGAATCATTTCTAAAGAAAGAAGGCATATTGTTTATATACATGCCATACCAAAAAGGGTACAGAGAACAACATTTAAGCACAGGCCTCTAATACACAGAGGCACCCAGCCCAGGGCCACAGCAGCTGGAGGCTGCCTCCACATTCAAGGATGCTGCATGTAGGAAATCCTTCCTTCCTGCTAACCTCAAGAAACATAGCTTTTCTGGCACGAATAGTTAACTTACTAGTTTCACCAGGAAAACCCATTCACGCACGTGAACTGTACTGACAGCCAGGGGCAGATATTTCTCTTGATCTTTAACCCCTTTAATGAATGTCAGATATTGACCAACTATGGGAAGATCCTGACCAATATCTGCATTTAAGGTGTTATAAAGTTCTTCCTTAATACATTTTGCAGATTTTTCAAAATGACTTTACTAAAGGTTTGTGCTGTACAAGGACTTTAAGTATGCTATTATACCAAAACCCATACACTAAAGCTGTACAGCTCTGTGCCAATATTGATGTGTCTGTACAATAAGCTTTGACATGGTTTTCTAGGAGATGGTTTTCTAGGGGGGTCAGGAGTTGAGGATTTATGTGACCTTTAAACTGATTAATTGATAGGGGCCTTGTGTAAAAAAACAAAGAGGGGAAATTAAGAGAGAAGTTATTGCTGTTTGCATTATCAAAATGCACTGGCACCCATGACACAAAGGTTCTTAGGATCAACTTGCAGGATGAGATCCTCTTGTACGGATGGCAGTAAAAACATGTGTGATGACATCAGTGGGGAATGGTTGGCTACAGGGCTCTGATGGATCGAAGGGAAGCAAAAGGACAGTTTGAGATAAGCAGAATGGCAGGCTAAGGAGGCAGGCACAGAGGTCTGGACACCAAGACAAGTCAGGTCAGAATGTTACAGGAGAGAGGACCACACACAAGCATGAGTGGGTTTTCAGTTTTTTAGGAAGGGCTCAACAGTTCCAGCAGCAGACTTTCCACTGGTCACAGGATTACAGCATCTACACCAACTGAAGAGGTCCTGAGTTCCAAAGGGGAGTTCCAGAACTCCAAGAAAAAGAAAAAAGAATCCAGCTGGCAAGATGTAGTAAAATTGGAATTATCTTTGCCTCTCCTATGCTCATTACAAACCTTTTTTAAAAATTTTGTTTTTGAGTGGTTCATTTTAAGATCTGAAAGTGAAATAGCCATTAGAAAAAAATAAATAAAAATTAAAATCTCTCTCGATATTTTCCAAGCTTCATAGAAAATACATATATTCTAGGGAGCAACACTTTAGAGCAATTAATAGACTTTTTAATTGTAGAAGGATATCAGTATGTATGGCCTCTCTTAATGACATTCAAATAACAACGCTATGTAATTACCAAACTGCATTAATGCGGTTCTCATAGGGTGCCACAAAAACCCTGCACAGTCATCAAGGGAGTAGAGAGTAGGAACAGCCCAGCCAGAAATATGCAGTGGAACTTAATCACTGTAATTTAGATTTTGTCACCGAGTCCCAGGTACAAGCTTTTATGCACTGTCAAGAGATCTCCACATTAATTGCTGTTCCTGTCTTCTGAGGACACAGACACTCTAATTTGCTACGATTTTCGTGTCTCTAGCCATGTTCGTTTGGTAGCTAAGTCCCCTTTTCCTCCAGAAAAAGAGGGCTGTTGAAGCTCTGATTACCCAGCTCACTCTGCCAAGATCAACAGGCTGATGTTACAAAGCATCCCTGTTTACCAGAGTCTAGAAACAAATGTGACTCAGCCCTCCGGTGGGTGGGAAGTCCTGCAACCTTCCCTGAAAGGCCATATTCTTCTCTTTAGTAAGTATGACTTTCAATAGAAGAGTTGTTTCTAAGTGATGATTTCAATGATTCTGCATGGCCGATTTGAAGCAGAAAATTTAGATAATCCTTTGAGGCCTTTGAGCAGCTCCGGTCAGCACATTTGGACAATGAAAATCCAGGTGCCTACATTTTTGGAGGGCTCTATTGATCTCCTGGATTTGTCAGATAATAGCACTGTTTCATGTTTTGTGTTTTGGGGACAGGGGTCCAGTTTCCCAACCTTCCTCTCAGTGATGCCAGTCCTGACAAATTCTCTGTGACTTTCTGCTGCAAACACATTAGGCCAGAGAGAGCTCTTCAAGTGGAATACCATTCTTAAGATAAGGTACCTTTCAAAATGAGGCACTGAAAACCAGAGAAATAGGAGTCCCAGCTAAATCTAGTTTCTAGGTTAGAAACTACAGAGAAACCATTCTGATTTGGAAACTGTCTAAGTACACAGTCCCTAGTTAATGAAAAGGTGGAACATGCAAACGCAGCCAGTGAGTGTGGTAGCTCCATGCCATGTCATTCTGTCTGTGCTCCTGTGGCATCTGAGGCCCAGCTCTTTGTTCTACTCTCTCAAACACACCATTTGAGCCAAACACTCTATCTTCTGAATCATGGAAGGGTAGAGGGGTGCTGGGTAGTCACAATATGGGAACACTTTCCCAAGCTCCTTTTCACTTGGGGCCACACAGTTTGCAGACCTAATGATTATTTTTAAATCTGGAATGTGGGAGTGGTAAACAGAAATAAACCTTGTAAAACACTTCCTTAGGCTTGAAATCTTAAAAGAAGAGAAGCTTAAAAATGTTATCAGTAAGAATACAGACAAAAAACAAAAACAAAAACAAATCGAATATTTAACTGACCAAGTTAAAACCTAATTAAGGACAGGATGTCTTCTCTCATTAAGGCTACCTGTGGTTTACTGACAGATTATCTACCTGACTTCCCACTTGAAAAGTAAAAAGCTAAATTAAGTTTCTCTCCTTTTTTCCCTGTAAGGCATAATAACAAAAGAGACTGACAAGACAGCAAGATTAGATAAACACTGTCACACAAGTTGATTAGCAACTGACAACAATGAGAGGTAAGAGGAGAAATCTCCATAGAGATTAGGAGACCCAGAGACAGTAAAGGAGGGCTCATCCCTGAGAGGAAGCATCCCATCAGGCTTTGGATTTTAGAGGAAATGAAAACCAGCATTTATTTTACTTAGGGGAGCAATTGCCAAGTATGCAAGAGAATGTGTATTTTTCTGTCCTAAAAGGTAGATGGGATGTGTCTAATTTTAGCTACCTTGTTCTGTTGGACACCTCCCACCCTCAACACATCACTGTCAGGAGCCAATTACTGCAAAAAATTACCATGCAAATGTCAGGTAAGTGATGTTCTCAGAGAGAGAGGCTGTGGAAAGGAAGTGCTCAGCATTGTGAAAATGCAGTTACTCTAAGGAGGGACCCCTTTATTTTTAAAAATACAGCAAAGATTTAAAAAGAAATCCTCAAAAGACTGTCCCTGCCTCTATTCTCTATCACTAGCTGAAATCAAAATGGGCTGCAGTTGGGAAAAATAAAAATAAGTAAAATCCAACAGACTAATTCTGCAAACAGACTAATTCTGCAAATGTTTAACATAATACATTAGGATTATAGGACTAGTGCATTTTGCTAGCAAACAAATGACACAAAATATCCAGAAATACAGTATGTGTGTGTGTGTGTGTGTGTGTGTGTGTGTGTGATGTATATTTATACCATATCCACTGTCTCTGCATCTGAGAGCCTCAGTGCATACACATTATCCTGTATACACTGGGATAAGGCTAGGAAACCAGGCGAGGCTGGGAGAAGCAGCAGAGGGCAATTACCTTGTGTGGGAAGCAGCGTCGTTTATACTGAAGCTGCTGTTCTCCCTTGTCAGAGGGCTGGAGCCACCTTGGCCCTTGCTGTGGATATCCAGGCTCAGGGAGGACTCTGCCTTCCGGTCCATGCCGTGGCTCTCTGTCTCTAACGTTCGATCTGCCATGGAGAGCACTTCGCTGGAGCTATGCCACAGGGGTGCCACTTTCTCCTTGCCTGGCCCTGAGCGAGGAGACGAGGTGGCCCCCAGAGAGGCTGTGCTGCCATGGCTGGGGCCGTAGGAGGTGGTGTCGATGCCACTGTCAGCGGAGGTGCCCTGCAGATAGTTATAGCTGTTGAGTTCGGATTCCGTGCGGTCCCCATCGTACCACTTCTCGTCACTGTGGGCACTGGATGCATTGCTGGAGAGGGTATTGCTACTGGAGTGGCTCGAGTAGTGACTATCAGACTGCAAGGGAAGCATGATTTACTTAAGTGCATGGTTTGACTTCCTGAACACCCAGAAGAAAACAACAGGGACACTTCAGGACTTAAGTTCCAGGTGCAGAGTTCTAAAGGCATTAAAGTTCCAGGAATAACAGGTCAAAGTAAGATAAGAGGTGCCTGGAAAAACCTCTGCGACTCATGCCCATTCAATGGTGTCTATGACAGAGAGTGCAGGAAACTTTTTTTTTTTTTTTTAAATACTCCATTTTTCATTATTTGGCTCATACTGCAATATCAATAGTATCAAGGATCACTTTAATCAGGAAAAAAATCTAAATTGTCATTGAAGTCTGTATATCTTAAAATAGAAAGGAAATGACATTTCCAAAGAGCTTACAATTAGAAAGGATGCTTAATTCTAAAAGCCATACTGCTCAAAGTGGATAGAAGGCTGAATATGAGAAATGTTAAGTTTGAAGACTCTCCTTTTCCTTCCCCAATTAATATCTACTTGGGAGACAGTTTTCAAGGAGTGCTTAGAGGTTAAATTTACACAGAGGTGCCAGGATAATTCAATGGGGGAAAAAAGTCTTATCAAAAACTGGTGTGAGACAACTGGATATTCACATGCAAAAATGAATGAAGTCAGATCTGTAATATATAGAAAAATAAACTTGAAAAGAACCAGAGATTTAAAAGTAATAACCAAAACTATAAAACTCTTAGAAGAAAACCCAAGTATAAGCCTCTGTGACCTTGGGTTATATAATGGTTTCTTAGATATGGCACTAAAAGCATAATAAAAGAAAAAAAAAGACCAGATAAATTGGACCTTATCAAAGTTAAAAACTTTTGTACTTCAAATAACCTGATTAGAAAATGGTCAAAGATTAAAACAGACATTTCTTCAAAGAAGATACACAAATATCCAATAAGCACATTGAATGATGCTCAGTATCAGTCGTTAGGGAAATGCAATTCAAAACCACAGTGAGATACCACACTACACAACCTAGAATGGCTGTAAGCAAAATGGCACACAAAAACAAAGGCCACTGTTGTGGTGAATGTACAATGGGCAGTTGCTGTGGAAACACATGCAACTCTACTCTTGGTATATACTCAACAGACATCAAACGGATGTCCACACAAAAACTTGAACATGAATGTTTACAGAAGCATCAAATGTAAGAGTCAAGAAGTAGAAACAACCCCAATGACCATCAGCTGATCAAAGGATATAAAAAATGGTATATCCATACAATGGAACATTATTCAGTCACAAAAAGGAATGAATTACGGATTCATGTTACTATATGGATGAATCTTAAAAACATTATGTTCAGTGAAAGAAACTAGACACAAAAGGCCTCATGTTACATGATCTCATTTACGTGAAATGTCTAGAACAGGCAATCCACTGAGAAAGAAAGATGAGTAGTTGCCTAGGTCTTGGAAGGGATGGGAAGAGCTGGAGGTAATTGCTGAAGGATATGCAGCGGGGGGCGGGGGGTTCAGTGGTAGTGAAAATATTCTGAAATTAGATCATGGTGCTGACTGCACAATTCTGAATATACCAAAATCCACTAAATTGTATGCTAAATGGCTGAATGTTATGGTATGTATGTAAATTATGTCTCAATAAGAAATGTGTACAGAACCCTTTTCACACAGTGGCTCAGTTGTTTAGGAAGAACATTTTTTGGAGTTTACCAAAGAAATATTATTTCAAAAAATAGTTGAATGAAACAATATTTTAAGTTGGAGGCAGGGAGCCCAGATACTTGCTAAAGATAAAAGAGGAGAGAAGGAATGTGCATGTGTCTCTTTTGGTGGAGGAAGAAGCATGTTCTTTATGGGCCCAGGCCAGGGGCAAGAGGATGTATCAGTTTTACCTCAAAGTGAAACAGCTCTTCCCCTTAAAAAAGAATAATCCCAGTTACTTTTTGCTGTAACTGTAGTTTTTCTCAGTAACAACTTAGAAAGTGTGCTTTGAAGCCTTCATTTACTTTTAATAAGGCAGAATTTCTTCAGCTTTGTTCGTGTACAGTGAATCTGGAGGCCCCAGGCATGACTGGCATTGAGTCCTTTAAATATCACTGGCTGGAACTGAGATGGACTGAGTGCAAAGTAATATGAAGGTTTCTAGAGAGATACAATGTGAACTACAAATGTAATTAAAAATTACATTTAAAATTACATCTAGTAGCCAAAACGTAAAAAACAAACAGGTGAAATTAACTTTAGTAACATTTTTACCTAACCCAATCTGTCCAAAATGTTATTTAGTATGTAATCAATATAAAAATTGCTAAGGAATGAGGGAAATTCACAAATCAATTGGGATAACCTATTATTTACAAGTATATCTGTGGCAACACTACATTTCCTCAGTAAATCTCTCTTCACAGAGCAAAATGTAGAGTRTGTGCTCTCTTGTTGTTTTTAGCTTCAATATTCATCTCTCAGGACAAAACTTTTATGAGATTTCTCTTTTTTAAAAGTCTTCTGAGCATCTTACCAATCAGTGAGTATGAAATGGAGTATTTGCCCATCAAATGACAAGAATATAAACACAAATACCAGCAAAGAGAGAGACCAAGGAAATCAACTGCATTGCACAATGGTCACCTCGTATTATAGTACCTGTAAGCGATAAGGAACTGTGTGTAGTTGTGGAAGACAAAAGAAGCAGTAGGGTAATTTTAAGGGAAGCTGTCTGCCCCCTTGCTTTAGCAGGATCCCATGCTTGCAACTGCGTAAACAAACAGAATCTCTTTCTAACACAGTTCTATTCCTAACATTTCAGGATTTAGGATTGTGAGTGAACCAGGCAACCTCCCTTACAGACCTGTGGGGGTGCAGGGGCATACCAATGAGACTGCAATTTACCTCAATTGAAGGAAGCCACCTTAGGACCATGGCAACAGAAATTCCAAGGCTATGGTAGCAAACATTCGCTATCAGTGCAASTCATTAGACAAAATTGTTTCCCCCACTAGGCTGACTTCCTCTTTGACCATACTGCAGGGCAAGAATAGAATGAACTGGCCCCATTTCTGCACTGCAGGAAAGTAGTTGCTTGGAATCAATTGTTAAGTTTGCAGTTAACTTACATGCCCTTGTTTGTTTGGAGACAAATGAACCACTGGATCCTGCCGCATTAATCTCCCACTGGGGCTCTCTCGGAAAGCTGGCAGTACCTTTGATACTGCTGGGAGATGACATGTAGGCTCTGGAATACAGTACAGGCCATTATGGTGCGGGTACTAAACAGATACAAACACATGTTGACAAATGGAGACGGCTTGCCATTGCATCTTTCAGTTCACTGACCAGCCAACTCTGATTTCAACAGTAAGCTTGTTAAGAGTCTACACAATAGACAGCATGTCAGAAACTAGGTGGCTGATGGATAAAGCTTGCAGCTGGTGACAACGTGTCACGTCATACACATTAGCATAGCCAAGTACCACCAAACCAAAGGCCATGAATAATGCAGCAAAGTTCGAAATCAACTTTTGGTTTGGGGAGAAGTTTAGAATATATGGAGTAAATTTATGAAATTCATTCATTGCAAAGTGTGGCTAACCTAGCTCAGTCTACATTACCTAGACAGGCATGGATGCAATCACGTGTTACTTACCATGACACTTTGGAAATATTTTACCTGTATATTCATGCTGCTCGAGGACAAAAGAATTGAAATCCTGAGGTCCTCTATAACTGTAAGCTAAGCACAACAGAAAAGACACACAGCAACTAGTTTACTTAAAACAATTGCTTCCTTTTGGACTCCAAGCTGGTGTTTAAGATGGGGCTCCAAAAGAGAGAGATAAATGATTTATCCTCTAACACACCTATAGCTAAGAGCAAGAGCTCACAACTTCTTGAAACACCCCTCCTAAATGTAGAGAATCAGGCGGACTCCTACTTAGATGTGACTCTCATCTATCTCCAAGGGCAGAGAGGCAGAAAAACAAACTTGGAGGGGATGAGAGAGCCAATTAAGTAGCTATGCTCTTGCCTGCACTGTTAGTAGGTACTAGTTTACAACACACTAATACCCAGATAGGTGGGCCTGCCTAATGTTAGGATCTCCTAAACATTCGCCATCAGTGCAAGTCATTAGACAAAATTGTTTCTTCAAATAGAGTATAGAAAGGTCAGCCCTTTATACATTTGATATCATGTGCTAAGCAATGAAAAAGTAAAAAAGCATTTTTCTTGAATTCTCCCCAGTTATGGCTTATATGAGCTAAGCCCTAGATTCTTTCTGATATGCCAATTAGGAAAGGTTAAGTTATTCTCCTGGAAGACAGGGCTACCAAAAACTATAAACACTTATTTATTTAAATAATGTTACTGTATTTTTTAATACCTGTATTTTATTTATTTATTTTTATGTGGTGCTGAGGATCGAACCCAGGGCCTCACACATGCTAGGCAAGTGTTCTACCACGGAGCTATAACCACAGCCCACAAGCATTTATTTTGACATTTTATTCAGCCTTGGATTTTGAGTRGAGAAAGGCCACCACTTAAGAAAAAGAGTTCTTTATTGGGTTCTGCTGGTATCCTATTATTTAAAAAACAAAAAGAACAAGGTATATCTAACTTAAAGGATGAACAGAAGTGTTAGAAAGATCCATATTCATTTTAGAGTTTTATCTACTTAGAGTGGATTGCCACTAAACTAAAGTGGATGCAAAGAAAGATGACTAGATGGAGGTGTGAGCGAGACCAGTGTGGGTCTAGGATGAACCTTATAATTACCCTTTGCAGTCCCAGGACACCTTCTCATTCCCTGTGAGAAATCCCGTGAGTGGGAAGTAGGACACTACACTGCAGAGGGCCTGCTGGCAGCCTTGTTGAAAGCCTGCACTAGGAGCCAAAAAGAAGCCGCCACAGTCATGCTGGAGAAGGGGTCCTTTCAAATACGTCGTTACCATCTCAACAAAACATAAGGGATTAAAAACATTCTGTCGAGAGCAGAGAGGCAGATCAGAATATGCTCAGGTTTTGTGTTGGGGTGGGTGGGAAAAGAGTGGGGATGACAGATGGCTTCAATAACAAGGCACTGAAGTTACTGGAACAAAGCAAATCTTCAGAACCTAAGAATTATATTTCCTCAATTCCTGTCTTAGCTGAGTACATCTCCATTCCCTATGTTCAGGATTAGCACATTTACTTGGGCACAGGCATTAAAATAGGACACAACCAAGAATCAGCAAAGAAGATAAACAGTTAGGTCTTTGCCTTAAAAATGTATCTTTTTAGCCATGTGCGGTAGAGCATACTGTGAGCCCAGCTATTCAGGAGGCTGAGGCAGGAGGATGGCAGGTTTGAGGCTATCTGGGCAACTTAATGAGGCCCAGTCTTAAAATAAAAAAAAGCTGGGGATGGGGCCCACAGAACACTCCTGGGTTTCATCCTCAGTACAATAGCCCATCCTGCCCCCACCTTTTTCAATCCTTAAATTCATTCCTATCTTTTTATCTCATAGTGATAGTAAAGCTTCTAGGCATAAGATAAAGGAGGGGAAAAACCCTAACTTTAGATCCAAGTCCTTTATGTATCATCTGTATTGAACCCAACTCTCTGATGTTACTTAGTTGAAACGTGATCTTGTTTCATGGTAAAATTTTATTGTGTCAACTAGCCTCATGGTGTCATGATAGACCCCCACCCCCACCCCATGTATAGAGAGTGAGCTGTGCACCTGAAATCCAAAGGAGAGCTCACTAAGGCAAATCTTTTCCATCCAGCTGTTTTATACTGCTAAGAYATTTCCTTAGCTGACAGCTTAATAGCAGAGTGGAAAGAATTAAAAGAAATGCACATAATGGAGGAAAGAGCCTCTAACCAAGCTACAGATGTGGCTAAATCATTATATTTCTTCCCACTCTGTACATGGTTGATTTGTGTTTTAACTCAACATTAAGAAGACCAAGGAATCTCTTAAGGCACTGGGCAAAAACAAATGAGGGAGGAAGGCACTTAGGMTCCAAGTGGTTTGTTAGGCTGGTCTTTTAATCTTGGTGCTAAACATAATTCTTGAGGCCTTTCTATGTCTAAATTTGGGCTCATTTAGAATTCCCTGACTTTTCTCTCAGGTCTTACTCATTGCTCTCACTTGTACATAGACACTTTATCCTAATGCACGTTAACTAGGGCTATCTTTTATAAAACAATGCTTTGATAACATCCTTAAGAGGTGGTCAAAGTGAACTTATCAAAAAAAAAAAAAAAMCACTTGCTTTTTATGTAAAAATCAATTACTTACCCATCTGGTCAGCAATGCTATCCTCACTTCTTTGCCAGCTGGGTGTGGACTTTCCGCTGCCACCAAGATCTGACTGGGTGTTTTGCCTGTCAATGGAGGCTGGGGATCTGCGGCTCACTCCAAACCTGTGGTGATTCCCCCCAACAAAGGCAAAGACATTATCAGACCTCATTACAAGGGGAAGATAGTCCTGTGTGTAATGAACTTAAATCTGATGACAGGTATTACGAGCTTGGGCTTACATGCCTGTACATGTATATGTGCCTTGTGCATGTGTAAATGGGTGTACAGATGTGCATATTGTGTTCAATATACATGACTGTGCTCAGAAAGGTATGCATGTTGTCAATATTAACTGTTAACTAGGGCAGGTGTTGAGAGCCACAGCTGAAGGGGCCCCAGCAAACTTCCAGCTGCCGGCTGATGATTGGCTCACAGCGGCCCCAGCAACATCTAGCTGATAGGCTCCTCTGTGGTGATGCTCATTGGAGATGCTCTTTGAGCTGTTTCCCAGCCCTTTCAGACTGCCAGCTGATGATTGGCTCACAGCGGCCCCAGCAACATCTAGCTGATTGGCTCCTCTGCGGTGATGCTCATTGGGCTGTTTCCCTGCCCTTTCAGACCACGGAGCTGCTCATTGGGGGACTTTTTTGGCTCCGCCCATGCGACCCAGCCAATTGGCCTCAAGAGCAGGAGGATTGTGGGAGGGGGAGAGGCTTGTGTTTTGGTGTGAGAGGCTTGTGGGAAGCCAGTGGTGGCAGTTGGGCTCTGAGGGTTTTTCCTGAGGACCTGTTTTGTTTGGTGTGTGCAGTTCTAAATATAAAGTTAGTTTCTTTTGACAAGTGGCTCCTGAATTGTGCCCAGCCAGACTGTGGCAGGCAGGAGCCATTCTCACTGAGATAACCTGATGTAGAGTAAGAAACCAGAATCTTCTGATCCTCCTATAGCCAAGCTCAGGCGGTCATTCACAGCCCAAGGAAAAATTTCACAATGTAAATGTCTTATGCATATCTTTCAAATGGTATATTCTGGAGGTTAGTTTTCTCTTAACTCAGTTATCTGCTAAATCAGTAAGTCATTCATTCTTGGAACAAGTATTTTCTGAGTACTTGCTCTGTGGTCTGAAAGATAAAGCTATCACTTATGTAGAAACTACTTTCAAAATGTATAAATGTTAAACTACCTTTGGGAGGGGCAATTTGGAAGTAGGTAAGCTGGCATGTATAAAGATAGCTAAATTTCTTTCCAGAAATAAACAGTTATTTAGTAAGCCAATTTTATTTTCCCTTGTGGAAAATAATAATAATATATGCTTAATTAAAGTATATGCTTTGTTGAGCAATACACATCAGCAAAGTAATTACTCAGTCCAGAATAAAGGCCAGAGTATAGAATTCAAACATTCATATGGAATTTTTCCAATTTTATGTGTGGTTACTAGTGAACTTCTGACTAACCTATGCAACAAAGGAAGCAACAGGGCCCACATCAATTAATGCATATTTTGGTGTTTTACTTGGAATCAACTGATAAATGGATAAGCAGGACCATCAGGTGGTATACTGGAAAAAGCAGGAGATTAGGAGTGGGAAGACTGCAGCCAGGTTTCAAAGGACACACCCGACACACCCATTGGGACAGAACAGTCACTGAACTTTTGTCTCAGTTTCTTTATGTGCAACATGGCAATTCCACTACAGAGCTCCAAGGAGGAAAAAAAAAAATCTATATAAAGCATTTGCAAATTATAGAAGGCCATAAAAATATTTACTTTAGTAATGTATTTATTATATCATCTCCCTACTTTCTTGGGCATAAATGCTACTCACTTACAAACCCAATCACAAAGTTCACTAATCGAAATTATCTTACATATGAATGTAGCCATTATTAAAACCAAAAACCTTGATTTATGGAAACTTTGGTCAAAGTGGAAAAAAAAAGAAAAAAGAGAAGGACTCACAATTAAGGTTTCTGCTATCTCTTCTCTTAGTAGAATTATGGATTCTAATTTTGCTTTTACTTTTTTGGAAGCAATAGAACCTAAAGATAATTTTTTAAGTCTCTGAATTTAAAGTTGAATACTTTTCTACTTGCTTTTAAATAAATGTCAAGGAAAGGCTGTCTTTAACCTTCACCCTCTAAAATATTTCACCTGGTGAACTTCAATTCTCTCACACATGCTCCACTTGGGCGTGAGCCAGGGAATTAGGGATATAAAGATCTTGTCTTTTGAGATGTGCAGACAAAACTTGTTCTGAGTTTTACACTGTGTCTCTTTTTGAAGAGTTTAATAGTGCCTCTAAGGAGCACTAGTAGCTCAAGGATCAGAGTCAGATTTGAAAGAGGTTGAATGCAATTCTTTGGCTGATAAAGACTCACTGGCCCCCAGCTCCAAAATGCCTTCCTCACAAAAGGCTGGAACCACCTTCTCTGCAGCTTTCTTCTGCTGGTCTCAGTTGCCCTGACAGCCAAGCCTAACCCCTTCTCTGAGGTGCTAGAAGAACGTTACGTGGAGCCCTCAGCTCAGCAGTTCACCTTCAGCTTGCACATCCTCACCATGCTGCTTGCCCCAGGTTCCCAGCTCCTCTCTGACCTAGGGTCTCCCTCTGGCCTTGTCTTGCCTCCTTAGTACTTCTCAAAGCCTGTGATCCAAAGGTACATATCCAAGGAGGGTAGAACAGGCTCCATGTCTTTTAAACAGTGTTGCTTTCTCATTACCTTTACTGCTCATCCCGAGTTGTCTAGGTGTCATTTCTTTCTCCCTCATAAACTACACCTCAACTAGTTTGGATATTTTCACTTTTCTTGAGTCAGGGAATGGGCAGGCACACACCATGCAGATGCAGGACTCCAGCCAACTGAAGTGGAGGGAAGATACCACAGCAGCATATGGTTTATGGACAGCCACTGTGTCGTGATGACTGTTATGATGCAAGTTGAACATTAAGGACTCTGAAGCAGAGTACATACACTCCAGCTTCACTGTCAACTTGAACACATTTATTTTTACTGGGGTAAGTTGTAGAGTAGATGGTAAGGGTGACTTTTGGACCAAACCTAGCCCATGAGCAATTCATGTGAATGATTGGATGGTGAACCACTGTCTTTTACCTCCCTGATACTGACAAAAATTGCTTGGAATCTAAGAAAAACACTAACATTATTTCCTATATCACTCCAGGTAAAGAAGACATTATATAGCATACTCAACAATGCCAGGAGAACTCACAAACAGCGGGAAAGCCCTTAATGCCATCTACGGCAGAGTTCAACTATCAAATACCCAATTGAATAATTACTACCTCATTAACAGAAATTTGAGCAGCTGGGCATTAGAATCATAATTTTAACATTAAGATTCACCAAAACATTAGTGTTTCAACTTGGGTTTTTGGTATACACTTAAAGTATATCAGAGATAGAAAAACATTTATTTATTTATTTATTTTGCTAAAAACTCATTTACATTTTAGTGCTGTACTAATACTAAAGTTGTGGTGAATTCTTATTTTGGAAGACAAACCAGGCCATTTAAAATCTAATTAAAACAGGAAATAATTAGTTGGGTTTGTAGTGTGGTACAATAATATGTAATTCATAAACCTCATGAATAAAGGCTGAATTTTTTCCTAATTGTCACTGAAGCAATTAAAATAAGAAATGTACATTTTAGGCAGGCCTCTAAGGGAGTCCTAGGGGAGACAGGAATGAGGAAAGCATGTTTTATAGTGGTTTTATTACCTACTTTCTTCTACCATTAACATTTAGCAGCAACAAAGTCACACCTAGTGGCTGTAAAAACCAACAAAATACTATACAGAGGAAATATCCATTATGAGGGTATTATTAGTAAGCATGCTTATTTTGTGACACAGTGATATCTCAAGAAAGTATCCAAGTAGTGTGCACATTTGTTAAAGGTATATACATTTATTTGGGGGAAATATGGAATAGAAATAGGAGTTTTTATGAATACTTCACATTTAATTTTCAAATGGTTCAAGTTCATTCTCAAATTCCCCAGAGAGCAACACCAGCAGGAAGTCTTTGAAGGTTCTTTCACTCTTCCTCTGGGTGAAGGCAGCCTGTGTGTGCCATGCACTGTTCTGCTAATTACTTCCTAGGATCAGATATTCTAATCCTGTTTCCTCTTATGGTGGCCTCTAAAATCACACATAATTCACTTTTTACTGTGTGTGTGTGTGTGTGTGTGTTTGTGTGTGTGTGTGTGTGTGTTTTGCTGGGGATTGAACCGAGGGCTTTGCAAGAGCTATATTTCCAGGCTACTTTGTAAATTTTATCCAAAGCAAATAGTTACTTTTGGATGGGCATTTAGTATTTTCAAGAAAGATTTTAAAAAACCAACAAAACACAGAAGACTTAAAAGAAGAAGAAATAATTTCAAGCTCTGGATGTTACTATCATTTTTCCTACATCAACAGCAATACAAGCTCCAAGGCAAGTAGTATTCTACTGAGTTCCTGTTGGAGGAAACACGATGTGACAAAATCCTTCCTGTGATACTAAACAACGTATGTCATAGAGAAACGTATGCAACTTGATTTCTCTGCCACTGAGGACTTCATGGAGAGTAGAGAATGATAAATTTCTTAAGTGATTTGAACCAGTCATGAAAACATTTCCCTATCTGGAATGTTAGCTATATTTTCACTGTTGATGTAAATTGATCAGGGCTGGCTGAATGAAAATAATTTTACATGTGGGATACAAATGAAAGACAGTGATGTTGACCCGAACCATGTACAAGGGGACAAATGGCATACCTACCCTTCGGGCATGGATTTTTGTCTGTAAGTGCCCCCCCCAGAGCCAGGCTCGCTGGATGAAGACAGGTTGCTAGGGGAGTTACGACACTGGGATCTTGCTAAAGCCATGGATGAGACTGTCACATAGATGTCTGAACCAGGAGACAACCTGCATGTGCAAACCAAAAATATGAAGTCAACAATTCAAAGGGGAAAATCCCAAGGCAACACATGATGGATAATATCATACAAATGCGACAAAGGCAGCGCTTCATGGAGATAGTGAAAATGAAGCCAGGTGGAAGCCTACAAAAAAAGCTTCCCCATAAAACTACTCCCTAAGGGAACAGCTGGAAAACCGCCTTGAAGGGGTGGGGTGTGTCAAAAAATAACAGGAGAAAAAAGGCAGCGGAAAAACATGTATGCTTCCAAAAGCTGCCAGAATTAAGTTGGTTGAATTGCTAATGCAGTCTCATAGTATGGCAGGGCAGAGGATAATTGAACCCAAGTGACGTTAACACAGCAATTAATTCCAATTTCTCACACTAGTCCTCCCAGAGTATATGACTACAGTGAGACCAGCACATTCWTTGTATGTTTCTTTGTTTTCCAATGTTATTACTCGAAGTCTGGAGTCAATATTCAGACTTAGCTACTTAGTATTTCTAATTTTCATTGACAGTAACATCACCAATATAAGAACCTCAGTGTCTAGGATTGCAGTTGTTGAATTATTTAGAATTACTGAATTTATATCATTTCACAGTAGAGATGTACTGTATCCTGGCCCTAATAAATCTTTTCTAAAATTTTGGATCCCTCATCTGCCGAGGGGCTGTGGAGGTAGAAGCTGGAGCTTTGTAATTAGACAGACAGATTTTCTCCCTCTACCTTCTCTACTGTGTAGCAGGCAACGGGGCAATGCAGGGATAGCAATAAGTGATGCTGACAACTGTGATCAGGTATAAACTCAACCTTGATAACAGCAGGATTTTATTCTGAATGCAAATCCTGGCCCAAATCTCAACTCTTATAACAGGGCAGGTCAAGTCCATTCAATAGCTGAGGAAATAGAATCTAAGTTACTTGTTTAAGGTCACAATAAGCCAGGCTTCTTGATTCTCAAACTGTTATATTTTATGCCAAACTATTGCTATCCCTTAGAGAAGGTTGGTTTCCTTTCCTTCTTTCCTTTCTTCTTCTTCCTTTTTTTTCTGTACTGAGGATTGAACCCAATGACACTTTACCACTGAGTTATATCCCTGGTCCTTCGAAAACATTTTTTTTTKTTGTTGTTGTTTGAGACAGGGTCTCACTAAATTGCTTGGGGCCTTGCTAAATTGCTGAGGCTGGCCTTCAACTTGCGATCCTTCTGCCTCAGCTCATGAGTCACTGGGATTATAGGTGTGTCCCACTGTGCCTGGCACCCTTTTCCTAGTAATATGGTTGTCGGTGGGTCTGCACTGGCACATGACTTTGCACATAACATGAAGTTAAACTCAAGACAGTCTGGGAGCCTTGGGACAGAACCTGGTTCACAGGAACAGGCCTTTCCTACAGTGAGCCTAGGAGCATCTGTAGCAGGGGAGGATAGGGTTTCAGGCATAGGAAGCTTACAGATGGAATAAAGGAATCACATCCAGAAACTTTTCTAATAGATAACGAGATTAAATTAAAAAATAAAATTGTAACTCCCAAGCTCCTCTATGCCCAAGAGGCAAATCTGAGTTGAGAGCCAGAATTCTCCCTCACTGATACCTAGACATCTCCAAGGAACACCTCCACCAGCAATTTAAATTAAACCTCTTAAAAGCTAACTGGTTTGCTCCATTCCCCCAGGCCCCAATATCCTAATGCCCCAAGCCCACCCCTCCTATACTGTTATCTCAAGCTAAACATCTTGAAGCCATTTTTCCTTCTCACCTCATCTTTCAGAGTCAGTAGACCTTATCAAGTTCAATAACTATTTACTGAGCACAAACTATTTACCAGACACCCTGGGTGCTGGTCTTAAAAACACAAAGACTAGAGATCCACCTACACTGATGTGCATGGGACCCAGGCTCACAGTAGGCCCAGGTCCATCCCGCCACTGACAGACACCAGCTGGAGTTCAGGCTCCAGCACAGGACCACCCACACCGACATACATAGGATCCAGGCCCAGGGTAGGTCCGAGTTTGCCACCCCCTACCCCCCASCCCCCACCTGGGAGCCCAAGCCTAACCCACTTCCATCTTGGGAAACAGCAGGTCACCATAGCCCATCCCATGCAATGGCCCCTACCCTTTTGACAACAGATAGTGCCTAGAAGTAGCTGCATCTCAGAGCAGGCATCCCAAAGACAGTGTAAAGCCCACCCTTTCAGCCCTATCTCTGTAAGACTTTGCATTCATCTTGGGGCACCTCCACTACTATGAGTTACCTTGGCTACTGTCGCCACCACCTTTAGTTGAAGGACACCAGCAGAGTCTGGAAGCCCAACATCAAGGTGAGGTACAGATAATCTGCACATATATTACAAGATTATAGAGTAGACACTGTAATGTCTCAGATCCACACTGCAAGAAGGGAAGACACACAGACAACATGAAAAAACAAGGGAGGAAAGTACCCCAAACAAACCAGAATACTACAATAACAGAACCCATGGACAGTGAAGTTGATGAAATGTCAGAGAAGAAGTTCAGAAGGTTCATAATTATAACGACCTGTGAATTAAAGAATGACCTAAATGAGCAAATACAAGCAAAAATTGATCACTCCAAAAAGATAAGAGAGCAAATACAGGTAGCAAAAGATTACTTCAAGAAAGAAAGACTCTGAAAAAAAAAAAAAAGAATAGTCAGAAATCCTTGAAATGAAGGAAACAATAAACCAAATAAAAAACTCAATAGAAAGCATAACCAACAGACTAGATCACTTGGAAGAAAGAATGTCAGATAATGAAGACAAAGTTTACAATCTGGAAAATAAAGTTGATCACACAGTGAAGATAGTAAGAAACCATGAACAGAACATCCAAGAATTATGGGACAGCATCAAAAGACCAAATCTAAGCATTATTGGGACAGAGGAAGGCAAAGAGTTTCAAACCAAAGGAATGCACAATCTCTTCAATGAGATAATATCAGAAAATTTCCCAAGCATGAAGAATGATTTGGAAAAACAAATACAGCTTACAGGACACCAAATGTACAAAATTACAACAGATCTACACCAARGCACATTATAATGAAAATGCCTAGCATACAGAATAAGGAGAGAATATTAAAAGCCACAAGAGAGAGGAATCAGATCATGTATAGGAGGAGAYCAATTYGTATCTCTGCAGATTTTTCAACCCAGACCCTCAAARCCAGGAGAAGATCATGGAACAACATATACCAAGCTCTGAAAGAAAATGGATGCCAATCAAGAATCTTATATCCAGAAAAATTAAGCTTTAGATTTGATGATGAAATAAAAACCTTCCATGATAAACAGAAGTTATAAGAATTTACAACTAGAAAGCCTGTACTATAGAACATCCTTGGCAAAATATTCTATGAAGAGGAAATGAAAAACAATGATAAAAATCAGCAAAGGGAGGTATTACGCTAAAGGGAAAACTAATCAGAGGGAAACCAAGTCAAGTTAAACACCAAAAATAAACAAAAATGGCTGCAAATACAAATCATGTCTCAATAATAACCCTGAATGTTAAACTCACAAGTCAAAAGACATACACTAGTAGATTGGATCTAAAAAAAGAAAAGACCCAACAATATGCTGCCTCCAAGAGACTCATCTCATATGAAAAGACATCCACAGACTGAAGGTTAAGGGTTGGGAAAAATCATACCACTCACATGGACTGCGGAAGCAAGCAGGGGTTTTTATCCTTATATCAAATAAAGCAGTCTTAAAGCTAAAGTTAATCAAAAGGGATAAAGAAGGACACTATATACTGCTCAAGGGAACCATACACCAACAAGACTTAACAATTATAAACATATATGCCCAAACAAGAGAGCATCTAGGTTCATCAAACTCTTCTCAAGTTCAAGAGTCAAATAGACCACAACACAATAATTTTGAGTGACTTTAAACACCTCTTTCTCCACTGGATATATCTTCCAAACAAAAGCTGAACAAAGAAACTATAGAACTCAATAATATAATCAATAACTTATAATTAACTGATATATATAGGATATTTCATCCTTCAATGAGCGTTACACTTTCTTCTCAGCAGCATAGAGAACTTTCTCTAAAACAGACCATATATAAAAAAGTAGAGATACTACCCTTCATTCTATCTGATCATAATGGAATTAAATCAATGATAAAATAAGAAATAAAGGCTATTCCAACACCTGGAGACTAAGTAATATGCAAAGTTCATTCAACATACGGAAATCAATAAATGAAATTCATCACATCAATAGACGTAAAGATAAGAATCATATAATCATTTCAATAGATGCAGAAAAAGCATTTGACAAAATGCAGCACCCCTTCATGTTCAAAACACTAGAAAAATTAGCAATAACAGGAACATATCTCAACATCATAAAGGCTATCTATGCTAAGCCCCAGACCAACATCATTCTAAATGGAGAAAAATTGAAGGCATTCCCTCTAAAAACTGCAACAAGACAGGGATGCCCTCTTTCAACACTTCTATTTAACATAGTTCTTGAAACACTGGCCTGAGCAATTAGATGAAAGAAATTAAAGGGATACACCTAGGAAAAGAAGATTAGTACTATCATCAACAAATTAGTACTATTTGTTGATGATATGATTCTATACCTAGAAGACCCAAAAAGTTCCTCCAGAAAACTTGTAGWATTAGTAAATGAATTCAGCAATGTAGCAGGATATAAAATCAACATGCATAAATCAAATTCATTTCTATATTTACAACACATTCTCAGAAAGGGAAACAAGGAAAACTACCCCATTTACAATAGCCTCAAAAAAATAAAATACTTGGGAATCAAGTATTTTAACGAAAGAGGTGAAAGATCTATATAATAAAACTAGAGAACTCTAAATAAAGAAATCAAAGAAGACCTTAAAGATGAAAAGATCTACTTTGATCTTGGATAGGCAGAATTAATATTATCATAGAAATAGAAAAAGCAGTGATGAAATTCATCTGGAAAAATAAGAGACCCAGAAT